ACGCAAAAATCATCTGGTACCGCTCAACCGATGTGAGCAGCGTATTAGATGCTTAGCTCGTCGTAGAAAGTATTTATTGACTGCTTCGCCAATATTGCAACTCCTTCCCGTCTCTCTATGCGACAATCCAAACGACGTATAACAACCATAGGCGCACTCCATATGCGGCAGCAGGTACTGTTGTTGCTGCGCGCACGAGCTGTGTCAAGTAGAAGTAAAAGCAGTTAGGGCTTGCTGCTGGCATATATGACCCAGGAAACCAACCTTTATATTCTTTGTCCAACAAAAACACCGGGCTTTTGTGAGTGACACAAAAGACAGAACGGGAACATTTACTGCTGTAGGTTGAGAAAACGCAATGAGCCTGAAGCGCAACCAATCTAGCAGCTGCACTATCGTGTGCAACGATGGCAAAAGTGGCACATTGCGGAAGTTTTTTGACGGGTTGCAACATCAGAGTGCCACACCAGTTTGCAAGGTGACGAGCCTACATATTACAGCTGGAATGCAACAAGACGAACGCAGCTGAGACGGGTTTCGCGTTGGCCCCGAATGCGCCAGCACGGAAACGCGCCGAAAACGTTCAAAGCGAAGAAGCCGCGCAGCGGGCCTTCCAATTGTGAAAAGCAACCTACTGCTTCATCAACATGAGCTGAAGAGCGGAGCGCCGGCTGGCGCTCACAATGCACACAGACAAAAGCAGCGAATACGACGGACAAGAATGAAGGGCGGAGGAATGCTGCAGCCTGCCTAAAAGTATTGGCTTGTCGTAATAAAGAGCCAGTCCGACTTAAACATACTTCCACGGTGCAGACCTAAGCTCAGGTCGGCGCCACAGCATCAAGGCAGAAGAGTGTGCGACACTGAAAGAGATGCCATACTATCTTGCATTATATGTTTGGTTTTTGACAAACAGACACGGGCGGGACATGGACCGTATAGTTCAGAAAGCGTTTGCTCTCTATCGTGATAATCCTAGTCAGGTTTGCTGTCGACTGTAGAACTGATGATGATTGAAGAGTGAATGCCACTGCAAGGTCTGGGTTAGCCGAATGCTTTGACGTCAGTGGGCATCTGAGATCACCATCATCCGCGTGTAATCAGCAACACCTAGTCGACGTACTCTCTGTGTCTCATCACCAGTGTCATTGGCACGTGCCAGACATCCGTGACTAGCGCTAGTTTGAAATCATCACCACACTGAAAACGGAGTACGGAGGCACGACCCCGCCCTGTGGCGCACCCATAACCAGACGCTAGCCACGCAGTCGACGAAACTGCCTGCCGCCTTAATATACGGAGACAAGAAAAATGCATTCGCACAAAGGAAGGCAGGCGTGCCACGGGCAAAAGACACCACATCACGCAAAATACATTGATGTCATTATGCTATGTGTCAGGCTGACAAACGCATTCTTCATTTCTGTACAAGGATATCACAGCGGAAGCTTACGATCCTGCTATGGTGCTCACTCTCTGCCAGGGAAGCCAACCACCCTACCCGGGAATCCTTCGGAAGGCTCCAAAGATTGTGCCAGCCCTTCCACAATCACTGACAGCAAACACGCCGCAGATTGTGTGCTCTCACGCCACTGAGCTTCTAAAATCGACATCAAGTCTGCAAGCATCATAAGCGAACACTCAATGCCGTACTGCCTGTGTTGTAACACCGTCTGTACTTAAGAACATCGGGCCACGCAGGACTTATCAGCGCCATCTCAAGCCCAGTTCATCGCTGAACAATGTAGTCACAGGCATGACAGTGACTTGTGGGGAGCAAACAGCCAGACGCTTACCAATGTGCTGGTGAACCACTCTGTCACCTATGCACCTCGAAGAAAAGGAGTGCATTCGGACAAGGGAAGCAGGCGTGCCACTGGCAAAAGATGCCACATCACGCAAAACGCATTGATGGCATAGTGAAGCGCTTGTTTTAACCTCATAAAACGAGGTTCTGCCGCCAGAAACGATTATCAGACCAGATGCAAACGCCTTTGTGATGTGATAGATATGGTGCCAGCACTTCCACAATCACTGACAGCAAACACGCCGCAGATTGTGCCTCTACCTGGGCCACAAAGGCAAGGCATGTCCTCCAACAAAAAGCATTGCGGTTCGGCCACTGCTAGCGAAGCACACATGATATACAAGTTCGACTGATGCAGAGTTGACCAAAGCAGCGAGCTGTGCCTGCGCACGTAAAGACCACTGCAATGCACCTTGTTCGTGCACCCATGAGCGGTCTGTGGTGGTGCAAACGCTGTCGACTTCTCCCGAGCAGCCAATGCCGTTGGGTGCGAACAACTTACGAGCTTCCCCTCACCCACGGAGAGCACCAAACAAGAGCGTCAATCAGGACGCTGACGCGGACGCCAGAAGAGCTGAAAGTATCGAATGCCTGGACGTTGCAGAAAAGCCGTTGCCTTCAAACAAAACATGCAGCTCGCGTCAACGTACTCCCTGACCACCATCGCCATCGGTAGCTAGCATTGCACGCGCGTCCGTCCACTCGAATACGCAAAAATCATCTGGTATATGTCTCTTGATGCAGGAAGTGTATTGGATGTTTAGAAGAAATACTATGCAGTAGCAACTTTGTAGGGATTCCGGCACCTCTTCGCGTGAACGCTCGTATATGGGGAATTATCTAAAGCAAGTTAACGTCCAGGGATCAATGAGCACCAAACAAGAGCGTCAATCAGGACGCTGACGCGGACGCCAGAAGAGCTGAAAGTATCGAATGCCTGGACGTTGCAGAAACGCCGTTGCCTTCAAACAAAACATGCCGCTCGCGCCAACGTACTCCCTGACCACCATCGCCATCGGTAGCTAGCATTGCACGCGCGTCCGTCCACTCGAATACGCAACAATCATCTGGTATATGTCTCTTGATGCAGGAAGTGTATTGGATGTTTAGAAGAAATACTATGCAGTAGCAACTTTGTAGGGATTCCGGCACCTCTTCGCGTGAACGCTCGTATATGGGGAATTATCTAAAGCAAGTTAACGTCCAGGGATCAATATACGGCACAACACGTTTTGGGGATTAACGCCCAGGATAGGACGCACACAATGACTGGATCCACAAAAGACCACATATGACCCACGAGAAACACGTGAGGCGATAAACAGGCCCACTGACTCTGCCACCCTGCAGCAGGAAACTCCAAACAAGGCAGCACTCCGCCTGCAAAGCACTTCCAACTACTACGCAGGCTCCGCTACAAACGCACCACACCCAGTCTCTTAGTCGTCCTCAACCAACTCCCGCTACCCACACCCAACACCTGCGCACAGCGTCACGCTACAGACGCACCACACCCAATCTCTCAGTCGTTCTCAACCAACTCCCGCTACCCACACCCAACACCTGCGCACAGCGTCAAACTCCTGTTGCCCTCCCTTCTACTAACTCAAGCGTACTTGCTCCTGCGTAGCACACGAACCCCGCAATACCCATACGCCGTCGTCAACGTCCCTACAAAACTCACGTCTCGCACTGCAGGCCGTCCACCACACCCAGCCAGCTGCAATATTCTTCTGCACGCCTCCTTCTTCAAGCGCAACCACAACCACAAACACGTCAACACGTCCAGAAAAAACCAAAACCATAACGCTCTTGCCTCCGGTGTGTGTCGACCAAACGCCACCGCATCAGACACTCAAAGCACCACACACGCCTACGAGGGCCACTGACTCTGCCACCCTGCAGCAGGAAACTCCAAACAAGGCAGCACTCCGCCTGCA